TTAAGGCACGGTACCGCCCAGCACGGCGTGCGACGGATTCCGGCTGAGCGATGGGTCTGCAGAACGGACTGTTGTGTCCGGGGCCAGGGCACGGCGACCTGAGTCGGGGCAGGGAGAGACGCAGCGGTGTCGGCGACTGGTCACTCGGAAGGGGGCGGGTGCGGGAGTGGGTCGGGACGGCCGCGGCGGCCCGTCACACACCTCAGGCGACGTGTGCACGTTCTCACGCAGCAGAAAGAGGCGACGGTCGTGGTCGGCACCAGCGGGCCGGCTGACGACAGGGCGGGCTGCCACCCTGCGCAGCGGCGCCAGGGGGCCGGCTGACGACAGGGAGGGCGCCACCCTGCGCAGCGGCGCCAGGGGGCGGGCTGACGACAGGGCGGGCTGCCACCCTGCGCAGCGCCGCCAGGGGGCCGGCTGACGACAGGGCGGGCTGCCACCCTGCGCAGCGGCGCCAGGGGGCCGGCTGACGACAGGGCGGGCGCCAACCTGCGCAGCGGCGGCCACGTGCGGCGCCGATCCTTGAAATCGATGATCAGATCTGCAGACGCATGGTGTCCTTTTCACCACTTAAAGAAGTTTTCATGAGCGTCCCAGCACCCAGGAGCATTCAGCATGTTTTTTTTTTGGGGGGTCCGAGTTTTGCACCCTCACTCATTTACACACTCAGCTTCCCATTTTAGCATTGTGATTTTAGAGATGGTTGCGATCTATCCATGTGTTTCATTCGGTATTTGCCCGTGATTAGCTGTCATTGCCAGCTTTTCACTTCGTTCATGTTTAGAGGCTGCTGTCGCGAACACCAGCAGCGTGTAATGCTTCGATATTTGATCTGAATTTAGCTTTTATATAGGGAATTCTTTATATAGCTTTTATATAGGGAATTTTTCGTATAATTACATACGTATGCATGCGTGCAAAACGCAATCACAAAGCACGCCAATGCCTACAATACAGCCCGCGTCAGATACGCAGCAAACGCTAAGCTACGCGCAGTCGCGAAGGCGCTTACCAGCCGCGGCCACCGCTGCATGGCCACCCGCGTCATGCGACGCTCGCAGGTCACCGTAATACGCAGGTACGGCCATCAGTGTAACTGCAAACTGATGAGGTAGTAGTACTAGCCTTATTCCTCGGAGAAGAAAAAGCAGGAGAGTAGAGATACAGGCTGAAGCCCACTCCACGAATGGGGCACACACAGAAGTCCACCCCGGCTGACACCAAACCGGCTGGGTGAGGGCGAGCGGGCGCTGACTCGCCCAGACACCGCAGGCTGAGAGGCAGATTATGCCGGATGACGAACTCGTCTGCCACGCCGCGGAAACCGCTCCGAGCGCCGAATAAACCCATCGGCGCGGTTCGTCGCGGCCGCAGCATTCGTCACAGGCGGTGGGGAGGAATGTGGCGCAGCTCCGCCGCACCGAACGCCGCCGGCGGCGCGGCCGCCCGCCGCGAACGAAAGTGAATGTACCGCTGGAATTGGCCGCCGGGGCTGCAGCGTCGACTGCCGCCACCCCGCCTGTCCACTGGGCACGCAGACGGGCGCCGCCACCCCTCTTTCTTCTGGACGTAAGCGGACCGAGGCCACCCCGCCTGCTCACTGGACACGCAGACGGGCGCCGCCACCCCTCTGTCTTCTGGACGTAAGCGAACCGAGACCACCCCGCCTGCTCACTGGACACGCAGACGGGCGCCGCCACCCCTCCGTCTTCTGGACGTCAGCGGACCGAGGCCACCCCGCCTGCTCACTGGACACGCAGACGGGCGCCGCCACCCCTCTGTCTTCTGGACATAAGCGGACCGAGGCCACTCCGCCTGCTCACTGGACACGCAGACGGGCGCCGCCACCCCTCTGTCCTCTGGACATAAGCGGACCGAGGCCACCCCGCCTGCTCACTGGACACGCAGACGGGCGCCGCCACCCCTCTGTCTTCTGGACATAAGCGGACCGAGGCCACCCCGTCTGTTCACTGAACAAACGGAGGCAGACGCCACCCCGCTTGCCCACCGGACACACGCAGACGGACGTCACCCCGCCTATCTATCCTCTGGACAAACGTAGGCACACGCCATCCCGCCTTTCCTCTGGACACAAATAGGCACACGCCACCCTGGACACATGTAGACAGATGTCACCCTGCCCGTCCAACGGGCACGCGCAGACGGACGCCACCCCGCTTGTCCACCGGGCACACGCAGACAGGCGTCACCCCGCTTGTCCACCGGGCAGACGCAGACAGACGCCACCCCGCGTGTCCACCGGGCACACGCAGACAGACGCCACCCCGCGTGTCCACCGGGCAAACGCAGACGGCGCCACCCCGCTTGTCCACCGAGCACACGCAGACAGACGCCACCCCTCGTGTCCACCGGGCACACGCAGACAGACGCCACCCCGCCTGTCCACCGGGCAAACGCAGACAGACGCCACCCCGCGCGGAGGCGGGAGATCGTAACGAAGCGCTGAAAGGGGCGGCGCTCAGACTCATTGGATGTGAGATTTGCGTGAAAAACCATTCAAGGAAATTTTGAAACCTAGCCAAAGATGGGACAAAGGAGAGCACATCCCCTGAGCTTGGAAGTTTGCATTCGGCACCGGGCGATTTCGCAGGAATTAGGTCCAAATTCGCAGGTTTTTGGAAGAAATTCTGAAGAAAAGGTCCTGAAGATTTGGCGGGGGTTGTGTCGTTCCATTTTCGCGGAACGCTGTAAGATCTTTAAGAGGTCACAAATGTCTCCAAGCAGTCGGGCACGGGTTTTTAAGCCGCACCACACGAAAACATAGAACCTGGAGAGTGCTCTGTTTTAAATTCATTCTATTGCAACGTATTACTCATTTAACCCGAAAGGGCCCGTTTTGATTCACTTCTTCCTCATTTTGGAGCTCGCAAAATTCTTATTCCGGGTCGTGAAGAAGATGCGTATACCAACCCCACGAAGGCGCCCATAGGTAGCGCCACCAGAGGGCAAGAGGGAACCAACCCTTTGTATTTACCAAGGGGCAAATATAGCCCCCTGGTGGATACACTGGCATCTCTCCCCCGTCCGTTCTTCGCCATGTGAGACACAACGCGCGGAAAACCATGCCTGAAGTCGTCAAACGCAACGGACTTCTCACGACCTCGCCTTCCTGCTCAGCCACAGGTGGCTGCGGTCTGGAGCTGAGCTAAGATAACTTTGGGATAAGTGGGGTCATTTTTGTCTGCTAAGCCCTTCTCCCCAACTAATTTTGTGAACTACACCCCTAGTCTGTGCAAGTTTTGTTTTTAATGAGTCATTTAGGAGTCACTATGCGTGCTATTTTGTCTCCATCGCCAAGAACGTCCCTCACTATGGTTGACTTCATAGTCCAGAGAAAACGCCTTTTACGTCAAACTCCAAACATTTTGTGAACACATGTTATCGTAACCAAAACACATTTGAGGATACTGCAATTCTTTGCCTTGTAGGTATGTAACTCACACAATGCATAACCTCCTTTATGCTCCATAATCACGTTCCTATATAGCCATATTCGTATACTTGTACCCAGGAGTGCTTTTAGCAACAAGCTCCGCCTAGCTGGGGTTTTGAATGTGTGGTAGTAATTTATGGTGTGGTTCTCACGTGCTATCATTAGCTGACTTTGGGTTGTGACTTCTTCAGGCCCTCTCACGTATGACTTGTCCCTGCCGATTGCATGACACGACTCCTGCCGGGTCTGCACCGCCTCTTCGCCTGCTTCACGACTCCTGCCGGATCTGCACCACCTCTTCGCCTGCTTCACGACTCCTGCCGGGTCTGCACCACCTCTTCGCCTGCTTCACGACTCCTGCCGGGGCTGCACCACCTCTTCGCCTGCTTCTTTACGTTTGTTTCTTCTTCTTAGCTAGGAGTGCCACGACTTGATGTTATGTTTTCTGGTGTCAACGTACGGTTGATTGCACCGCTGGGATAGAGGGCGGGATACTCCTGGTTTCCTGTTTTTAGGTAACGGTGTAGACAAAATAAGTTTGCGGAGATCCTGTACTGATAAACTGACCAGAGTCGCACATTTGAAAGCGCGTGAAGGTTGACTAGATGCAAATCGCTCACCTGGCCCAGCATCGTTGCCTTCTGATCTACAAGCTGACGTTGGGAACTCTCACGCCCACGCCGCCACCTCGTCGCATCCGCAGCGGCGTATATTGTTCACGTTGGGTATTTCACGGACCGAGCAATCCACCGAGAAAACTTCTCTGACTTGGTAGATTTGAAGCATATTTTCTTCCCGAGTGGTGTTGTTTTACCTACAGGAACATATACGCGCTGTGTGCAGGAATGGACGCGCGAAGTACTCACGAATATGTTGGCCTGAGGTATGGACCTCTGCACGCGGCGTGAGGTATGGACCTCTGCACGCTATGGACCTCTGCACGCGGCGTGAGGTGTGGACCTCTGCACGCGGCGTGAGGTGTGGACCTCTGCACGCGGCGTGAGGCGTGGACCTCTGCACGCGGCATGAGGTGTGGACCTCTGCACGCGGCGTGAGGTGTGGACCTCTGCACGCGGCGTGAGGTATGGACCTCTGCACGCGGCGTGAGTTGTGGACCTCTGCACGCGGAGTGAGGTGTGGACCTCTGCACGCGGCGTGAGGTATGGACCTCTGCACGCGGCGTGAGGTGTGGACCTCTGCACGCGGCGTGAGGTGTGGACCTCTGCACGCGGCGTGAGGTGTGGACCTCTGCACGCGGCGTGAGGTGTGGACCTCTACACGCGGCGTGAGGTATGGACCTCTGCACGCGGCGTGAGGTATGGACCTCTGCACGCGGCGTGAGGTGTGGACCTCTACACGCGGAGTGAGGTGTGGACCTCTGCACGCGGCGTGAGGTGTGGACCTCTGCACGCGGCGTGAGGTATGGACCTCTGCACGCAGTCACCTGAAGTCTTAACAATATGGGTCAAGACTTCGTGGCATGGCGCACCAGGTTAGGAGCACGTTAGCGCTTCAGGAAAGACCTGACCAGATTGCCCCGTGGTAGACACGTCTGAGGGTGCTCAGGAGGACCAGCGCTCGTGCGACCAGGCGCTGATAGAGCTGGCCGGCAACCTCAGGCTCTACCACCGAGGCTGCCGGGCCTGAGGAGCTGAACATAAGCTTTGATGAGCGGCGGTGGCGCGGACGCCGGTGGGCGCCGGCGGCAGGGCCGACGCCAGCACGGGCGACGGTGCCTGGGCAGCCTCCAGCCCCGGTCTGATGGATCGCGGTCCGATCGACCCCAGCGGCCGCCGTAATGAAGTGCGGCCCTCGAGGTGGCACCGGATGAAATCGGATAGTGCCGCCGCCGCTGTGGGAGCGGGACAATGAAGACGGATCGGCCGCTAATATTGGGAACATGATATTTTTGTGGGTCTTACAAGAATGGCCTTGCAAGTTTCACTTGTAGGTTAATATGATCAGGAAAATTTACGAGCTCTAATTGATGAAAACCCACGGACAGATCACTTATTCGCCAAACTCCGACTTACGTGGACATGGTTGCTTTTCTAGATTTACATGAACACCCTAACCAGTAGCGTTACAGGGTTGAAACGTGACATGGTGGTAGACGAGGACGCCATCTATGACATATCCGTCGGCCTCTTGTCCAGAGCCAGTTGATCGACCTCATCCTTGTTCAGAAAACAGGTAGCAAAATACACTTGGGGGATATTAAAGGGTGCATAAAGTCATAAGAGTGGACCTGTAACGTTAGGTTGTAGGTTTGTCAAAGGCCTCATTTATAAGTGTTACATATCTCTTTCTTACGGGGATGCATATGCAAATATCGGGCTTCAATCGGAGCTGTGGGTAATGCAGTAGTGGGCCAAGTGTTAGGCTAAATACTCTGGCTGGCGAATCACGCAGGTAATGACAGGTGAAGGTTTCTGCCGGACCTGTTTCCCTCTGGTGCATCTCCAAAGGAAACCCACCACATCTCACCGCAACAAGTGAGCACGTGGGGCCGCTGACGTCGGTATACCTATCACGCTCTGCTTGGCAATCCTGTCCCGGTGCCCTTACCTGGGGAACAAAACTTTGGGATTCACACCGCGATAAGCCTGCTCATTTTTAGTGGTTTCTTCTTTCCGTGGCAGGTAGTTCCAGTAGTGAAGTAAAGAGTGAGGTGTTTTGACCAGTGCACGCACCACAGCTCGCGGCCATGTCACACGTCCCTCGCGCAGATTATCAGGTGTCATCTAACAGCCTCATTTCCACATCTTCATCCAGCTCACCGTTCAACATCACCGCAGCAGCCGATCCTCTGTGCTGATAAAAAGCGTGATATTGTCGCGAGCTCGACACTGATAGTACGAAAGCGTCCTGGAGCCCGTAGTACTCTCGGTGCACCGAAGTACCTGCACCCATATTAGACAAAATGTGGCCAAGTTCGTTTTCTTTTCGGTTCATAACTTGCACCACAGGGCCAGATTTTTGCCAAGCCAGTTTACCGGTCGCCAGATACTTTTAGAAGGTCATTTCTCGATGCTTGGTGTGCGTCAAAAGTCGGTTCTGAAAAACAAATCAAGCTCATGTTCAGTCACTTTCAATTTACTTTCACGTGGCAAAACACCAGGAATAATAGCAGTCTGCATGAATAAGGGCACAGTTACAAGTGTTATGATCAAATAAGCATGCCTTAGACATATCCTTACCAGGGGAATTTAACCAGTGGCTAAAGGCCAGTGATATCAAGGCTTATCAGACGTTTTTTCACCTAACACTTACTTTGTAACACTAAGGTAAGATGTGTTTGGACGTGGGGAAATAAGGGTGGTCAATAGCTTCGAAGAGGGGCCGCCCGCCCGTGTCGTCGGGAGACTTAACCGTAGCCAGACACAGCAATTCTTCACGTTCATTACTTTTGTCGTCCTCCCCATGTTTCATGTTTTAAAGGCTGACAAATTAAAGAAATTTACAAATTATGTTCCCAACAATTTTACTTACTTACTACAGAGATGATATTTCTGGTAAAAACCATCCGTCATCTGATCAACGTCATGGCAACCGCACGTCACCTGATCAAACGTCATGTAAAATCTGAATTGTGTTGTCTACGTGGTGTCGACATTGACCATGGACTTGGTCATTCCGTTTTCGTGCTGGATAGACATGATAGCCTTCCGAAGAGTAGAAGAACATAATATAATAGGAAGGAAAACATAAGATAATGAGAAGGAAAGAGAGAACATAAGATAATGAGAAGGAAAAACTTACAGCTGTATACTAAGATAAACAAACATCAGCATACCTTGACAACAAGGGTTCGCTTGGCCACGGCGTTGCTCTGCAGTGCATGATCTCAAGGAGATGGTTGACAGGATTGATGGTCGTATTAGATATTGAAAAGTGAGATAACCATGTTCTGTATGTGCTTCACCTTGAACACTAAGCAACACTTAAAGGCTTTTCCAGGGCAAAAGGATTTTATTTTCAAACAAGGCTAAACACGTACTTCTTATAAAACCAGTTTTCGGCCTAATCAAATCTTAGAGCCATGGAAAATGACAATGCAACTCGAATGTAAACAGCTGATTCCCGCATTTCACTGGCTGGGAGCTTCAACACTATATCTATGGTAGTGCAAAGAAATAATGGCCTCAAAACATTGCAGTTGGTTAAAGTGAGTACTCAAGTCTAGCAGTGATTTTAATACAGATCAGTCCCTGCCAATATGCCGATACGTAAAATATGGCAGACCTTGACGAGATAGCGTTGGGGCAGCATTGCAGCGTACGATCAAACATGGCGTAGCATCTGCAAAAGCTTAGGGCAGAAATGGCTAAGTGCTACCTAAGGGCACCACAAGCTACCTTGTGAAATAAATGAATCTAGGTCCAGTGAAAACGATGTTTAGGGTTAGCGACACCGCTGTAGGTCATTCCAAACGGGACGGGGGAGGGGGTCAGCGTCAGCGCCGAACCCGTTGTGATGTTTCTTTCCAGTTCATGCCTATAAGGCTATTGATAAATTTTCAGATAGCTGCGGACGGCGCTGCCTGTTCTGGCTCCCTTGATTTTCGAGACTCTGATTAGGGGTACCTCCCTAAGTTATTGGGTTGTTAGGGCAAAGACACGATAAGGGGCAGGGATAGTTGGGATGTGATTCCCCCGTTCCCAAGCATTTCGTTGGCATCCGTGCCAGGTTTGTCACCCAGCTCATGTGGTCAAGATGTCTCCATATGGCCCCATTTTAAAGCTCAGACGCTTTCCCATTCATCCAATTCAGATTCCCCCCTCCCCCCCCCCCCCAAGTCTTCCCGAAACCCGTCTCCTTTTCTGCTTCGGACAAGAAAAGCTATTTAAACGAGGTTTTGAAAATGTCCACCAGTTTGCAAACATAAATTGCTGTGGAGCATTTATGCCTCACAACATAACTTAGAAGGCTATGAACCAAGCAGACCTTGAGTTTTGTAGCCTCTCACAAGTAATTTGTGTGAAAAGGCTGGAGCTATCCCTAATACATGCTACAAAACGGGGCTATCCCCGGATTCGACACACTGTGGTCTCAGAGTGGATGGACTGGGGTAAAGCTCCAGTCTCCGCCCTTCCTCCGCCAAGTGAAAAGGAAGTACACTCATAGGACAAAGTGCCAGTTAAGTTGTTTGCAGTGTATAAACGGAGGTAAAAAAAGCTTACGCTTACAGCCCGCAAACTACAAATGGTCTGATCTGTCTCCCTAACCCTGGCCCTGGTTCGCCGTTTTTCATGACGCGGACTGATGTAATGACTGGCGGGGGGTGATGTAAAATCCGCCACCCGGTGCTTCCAAAGTACTAAAGATGCAGCCTAGCAGAGAACACCAGCGGATTGGTCTAAACGAGATCTCACGATCGGTACTAGCTTCCTTGCGGTTAGTTCAATGATTGGGCCCATTATGGCATGTCAACGGTCGTCATCATGGGGAGAAAGAGTCAAAGGTGTTAATGGGATGTACCAGCCAGCCTGGATCTTGCCCGCAAAGCACCACTCTTTTGCTTTATAAGTGGCACTACCTGTCAGCAAATGTACTCTTTTATCCCAAAAATTGCATGAGCCAGTACCATAATGTAATTTGGCTCAAATGCAGTCCCAACAAGATGTTATCAAATCTGACCAATTTCCAGTGTTTTTTTTTTCTTCAAAAATGAGTCAAATGAAGTTCCCAGTAATGCTCTTTCCATGCTGAGGCCTTATGTTGAAAGCCTTTTATCAGCAGTGAGATGCAGTGAAATGAACATTTTCACATACTAATGAAACGGTTATGAGTGTCTGTGTTGTCTGTCTGTGTTGTCTTGTCTTGTTTGTTTTCTGTCTCAAATGAGTGTTCGCACTCTAGATTTTCGATACTATGTCCCATTCACGGTCATACACCCTACACATTTTATTGGACAGGCACTTATGCAAAGTTAGATATGCCCTATCTACATGCCTCTACCGAGATATGTAGGTAGCTAGCTTCTAGTCGTACTTCTCACCCACCGAATGTTACACTCAAATTTGCCTACTCCTACCAGCTGCTAACGTAATAAATTCTGTAATAACACATTTTAAAGACAAACCGCGCCTCTCTGACAAGAACGAAGTTATGCACAAATATAACAATGACGACATTAGTATTTAAATCACCATTGCTGCACCATACAGTTTTTTTACAAGAAATGTCTTGAGAATTGTGCTTACGCCTGAATTACTTATTTAAGTCTTCCAATACAAATCTGATTCACCATATCAGGTTCACTGTTACATGACGTCATACAAGGTTCATATAATGGGTTTACATTTTTAGTGAGCAGTCAATAACATCTGAGGAGCGGTCAATTACTCAAATATTTCTTATCGCCACCAGTAACTCTAGAAATGCCCACGGTGGCCGCTTCGCAAGCAATGAATGATACGGCGTTGGGGCACCGACGGACAACAAATCGATAACGTCATTAAAGAACGCTCTCGCGCAGACAGCCGAAAGCGTAGAGCAATACTAGCGAATATACACATTGGCTGTCTTTGCGTTCGCTTTTAAGCATTCTCCTGGGCCGCCATATGCTAGCTATTGCGTTGCCGGCCAGCTCCCCTCAGTCGGTAACCTAACCTAACCTAACCGAACCTAATCTACCTCATTGA